AATTGTCGGCTTTTTCCTTGATCAATTCAGTGCCTGCTACCAGTGTAGCAGAAAGAAAAGCTCATTCAAGAGAATGAACCACAGAACCAGAAAGGGGGAGGGGGGGACCTTGGGTGACCAATTAAATTCCACAAGTGTGTGATCTGTAAGTTTAGATAGCTGACTTAAGCCTGTGAATAATGAGAATTACAAAATGGTTCTTTCCTCTGTCCCTCCCACTCCCACCAGTTTTAAAAAATTGGTGCCAACTGAGGTGAGCTCAGATGCCTGGCTTTGGTGAGCCTTAGGACTTAAGGTCTACAGCTAGTTTCCTATCTTTATGAAATGATATGATGCTATTTGATTCTGGTTTTTGCGATAAGATTTTCAGTAGGATGAGCATTTCAAAAATACTTTGCAATAGCCCCCTCTTCCCACAGCATCCCTTTCCTACAAGGGGCTTCCCTCCTTGGCTATCATCAATCTACTGGAGCCATTTCTTCTGGATTGGGAAGGGGCAAAGTATCAAGTCCAATTTTCTCTTCCACTTACCTCCTCCCAGGACTGCTCTCATGTGGTGGGCAACTGGCCTTGGTAGACTGCATAGTTGCTGGTACAAAGTTAAGGTTCCTCTTAAATTTAGTAAGCTTTCCTAAAATATTATTGGGATCTGGCATTGGATTTGACAGATATACACTACAAGAGCCAAAGTCATTTCTACAATCTGGGCCCCTAAATAGGCAGTTTGATAAACCGGTTCCAAGAACTACAAATTCAAGAGTGAGCGTAACCAGTTTGCTGTAGCAAATTTACAGACGGATGAAGTCTGCTTGTCTTTTAATCTGCAGATTTCAGGTGAGATCTAGAACATTCTTCCAACTGGAGATTCTTGGCATCAAAACAAGATCCTTGTGTTTCTGCGGAGGGCTCTTGCTCTCGGAATTACTTTTAGATTGATGGACACTTTTCACTGGCCAGATGCCTGAGAAGGCTTTCCGGATGCTTGAGGCCCCCCACTCTAGATGGTCACTGAGCTGAGCAGAATGCTTTGGGAAACTGGAAAATGGCTCCCTAGGAAGGCATTTTAAGAACATACAGATAAAGCCATGCCATTGTTTCACAATCCTCTGGTGTCCTCAGGAAGGTTTTTGAGGATTTTCCACCTGGGACACATCTGGGACACCTGGTCCAGGCTCTCACATCCTGGCTGGAGGTCATTTGGATTTATCTTTTCACCTTCTCCCTCTGACAATAGGAATGGTCCTAACTCTCCTGGGCTCTTGCAACGGGTTTGGGAAAGAGCCCTCTGCATTCTTCTCACCAGTCAAGTGTGTGAAGGAGAGTTTGAAAAGGCCCAGGGAGCCACTGGGCCCAGAAAAATTCCCAGTCAATCCATTGCCTCTCTGCCAATCTGTCCACCATTCCAGGGGCAGGTGGAGAGACAGACGGATGTGAGACAGTGATGGAAATAAGAGCTCTGTGTGTGTGTGTGTGTGTGTGTGTGTGTGTGTGTGTGTGTGTGTGTCCCCATCCAAACACAGAGACAGGACTAGCAATAGAAGAGCAGGCAAGAGGGCGTGGGAGACTGGGAACTCATTTATAAAAGCTCTTCTGCCCTAAAGCGAGTCAAACTCCCTGCTGAGGAGTTGCTTTCTCTTCCTCCCTTTTGAGTCTTCTGTGCTGAACTGACCTCTCCCCCGCAGAGGTCAGCAACCCGCTGCCCTGCACACACTCGGCCTTCTGGGGCTTGGCTGACTTCGGCTCGCACGGGAGAGCAGTCCCCAGCTCTGCCTTCTGACAGAAAAACTGTGGAAAATGTCATGAAGCTGGTGGTCTTTAAAACATATGTACATTATGATGGAAAAAAATCTTCTGGGAACAGTGCAAAAACCAGAAAGCAACCCTAAGAATTGTATATCATCATAAAGTCCCCTCCCACAGCCTACTTCACCCTCTAAAATAAATCAGGCAGAGTAATGAATGAGGTTTTAAGAAATGTAACTGAACTTAAAATACAAGGTCAGTATCTCATCCTAGGTAATCCTTTGGAGAAGAAGTTCTCCTGATTTTCCCACAGGGTTATTTCAGATGCGCTTCCTGAGCCAAACTATTTTAAAAGCGTTCATTCTTCCACTGCCCTGCCAAATGCTAACTTGAGATTCACACGCACTTTCAGAGAGCCTATTAATGATATTAATGATCATGGATCAAAGGCAAACTCAAGAGGTTTATGTAAGAATTTCAGACAATTATTTAGGTGCTTTAAAAACTCTTCTTACAAAGGAGGGTAACAATTTCCCAATGTCCGCAAAGACCAAGTGCTGTGTTCACATGTGCAGCCTAAAGCAGCAAGACAAACGCAGAGGAGCCTTAGGGGAAAAGAAAACCCATCTCTGTGACTTAAACTTGTGACAGCAGACTACACTGTCTCCACAGCCTTTCCTACTTGTTTGGAAATAGGCACTTTGGATTTGCAGGAAGCTCTTCTCCTATGGGAGACTAAGGTCTTCACGCACCCTGCCTCTTTTAGCACCTACTACACACATACACACACACACACACACACACACACATACACACACACACTTTTTAAATTTACAAACACACAATTTAAAGACTAGTTTTTAACTAAGCATCACATAGCATTACTGATGGGATTTAAAACAATGTTCAGGCCAAACCTTAGGAACTAAAACCTATCCAGGTGACTCCAGTGTGTGGCCAGTGTAGAGAACCATTTTTAAATACATGGAGAAATGAATACATGGCAGTGGTATTTTTTACCTGATTACTCTGAGTGATATGGGTGGCACTTAAAATATTAATTTTATTTGACATATGAAGAAATTGAGGCCTATAAGGTTAGGTTTTCCCATTGAGTGGAAAAACGGCAACTTGGACCCACTTTCTAGCTTGTAGCACCCTGCTGTTATGCAGTTCCCCAGCCCAGACCCCATGTCCAGTGGAGGGCCACACAATAGCCCCTGGGACGAGGAATATGAAGGATAGGTTATACGTTATCATTTGTAGTCACTCTCTGTGCTTCATGCATAGTGCTCTCAATGTATACTGAAAAACTTACGGAGTCATGGACGAGCCATGGGGGAAATTTAATTACAAGTGACCAGAGAGGCCCATGATACTGAAATAAAGGATGTGGAGAAAGAGCTGACCCAGGGTTTTATCAGTCCTGAACAAGGATTAGATACACACAGAAAATGGGAGCACAATCACTTGGGGGATGTCAAGATCCCCTGGAAAGAAGTCAAGATTATGTATTTTAATCCCTCATGAGAGGTTTGTCTTAGCTCACAGCTGGGAGCAGAAATGGAAACAAACTCACATGTAAGAGGCACCCCAAAACTTTTAAGGGGAAAATTTAATTCCAATATTTTACACTGGGTTTTGTATACTGAAATCTTTAGGGGGCAATGATTTCAATGGCTCTTTTGATTATCTTAATAAAATATTCAAAATCTACCAATTGCTTCTAGGAAGACAATGTTTCTTACAAAGAAAATGATTTAAAATAATGTTTAGAAAAGGGCATTTTGGATGTGCATTCTGGGGCTAAGGATAAAAGTAACACTACCTTTTTAAAACATCTTTTCTTCATAAAACAGGTATATTTTTATTATATAACTTCACCACTTTGACATATAATTATTTATTTTAAAAGTTTGAAATAAATAAGAAGATAAGATCAATAGGAAAAAAGAGGTCTCCTGGTGTTTATGGTAGTGTTTAGCTCCTAACTTAAATGAAGAATGTGATGGGGGGGGGTTCTATCAAACTCATCCCTGCCTCAGCAGAGGCTTCTGGGGCAAAAGCATTATTTTATTTATTTTTGCTGAAGTAAATTAGGTGTCAAAATTTGTGATATGGATCTATAATGGCAACTATAAGGTATTATGGTCTATGTTAATAATTATGCTGCAAAATGAAACTTATTTCAATGTCTTCAAATTCAAGTTAGTAGTAATTCTAGGTAATTAAAGATAAACTCATTCATTCAGATTCCTTCCTTGTGGGCTCTATTGACATATACTATTTCCTGTCTTGTTAAATAAATATAGAAACCAAATTAAAGGGAGTTTTGCAGATTTCTGAGCTTATTTATACCCTAAAACTGCTGTACTAATTACCTGAATTAACTTCACTTTACAATGCTTAATTTATTTTACACTAAGGAAGGCTTTAAACAGTTTAAGAGGAACCAGCTTAATTTTGATTTTTTTAAAACTTGCTCCAACGTGTTTTATTTTGGTAATGTTTCAATACCAAGGAATGAATTCTCTTGTCTTGACAAACCATTCATGGAAATTTCCTCATAAGAGAAAAGAAATTACGATGATTTCCATATTCAAGTCACAGCATGCTTAACAGAAAACTGTTGGCTCATAGGAAGGCCGCGCTTTATCTCAGAGGAGGGCCACTCACTCATCTTGTGGAAATATTACTGTAGGGCCTGCTGAAAAGTGCTAGGAACCCTGGAATGGCCACACTGAATTGAGGCCTCTGTCTTGGGCACATGTTCCTTCGCTTATGTGTCTCTGCCCTCACTAAACTTTTTGAAATCAAAGGACACTGATACACACAATAATCCATGCAAAAATCCAAACATGACACCAACAAGAAACAATTACACTGTGATCCCACTGTTGTCACCACGATATATCCTGAGATATTTCATTCAGAGATAGTTACATTCTCCATAAATTGGATGGAGGATTTGCGTATGTGTACAGAGGGGTTGGGGCAAACCCATGGACCTGTGCATGCTCAGCACTCACTTGACAGTGAACAATACCCCAGTCTTGCTTTTTAAAAAAGTGACATCAATTCCCCTTCTCTTTTAGTACTAAAATGAGGGAACAACAACAAAACTACTGCAACTTTCCCTCTTCTCCCCATGTTTGTTCCTTTGCATTTAAAGAATCTTGTATAGCCAGATGACAGTTAAAACTCCAGTGACCAAAAAAAAAAGTATAAGAAAAATCACACAGATGTTTCCTAGACACTTTTTGTTTATGGACATTTATTAAAATAAAACTAATGTCTACCTATTAAAATGTCATTTGAAAACACAGAAGTGGCTTAGAAACTAAGACATTGAGCGAGTTAAAAAGTTAGAAGAAGAGTTCAAAATTATTACATTAGCTGGATCTGCTCAACATCTCCTCCAAGCCTCCGAGTCACAGGGATCTGAATAAAGATTTAATTTGGAGTAGTGAGTGGCTGTATAATTTGTTCTTTTTGACTATAGATATTGACAAAGTCTCAGGCTTTCAGATAAAATTACTAAATTATTAAGAGCATCAAAATACATACCATTCAGAGCAGTAGAGAACCCTTCATATCCCACCTAATAAGTAACAAAAAAAACTCCTAGCATCTATTTTCCCCTTTGTATTCCCACATATCCAAAGAATCACACAATCACTCAAGTAACAAGAGACCCAGGGGTGGTGTTTCAGACATGTGGAAGGAAAGTGCTTAAAGGCAAAATTCCTGAAACATATGCCACAGTATGGGAGCTGAAAGCCACCTCTGCCCTGCTAATCCTGTTAAAAAGCATTGTACATAAAGTCTGTGTGAAAGACCACATCTATCTACAACCCACGGGTGCAAAGAATTATTATCTTTCTAAATACAACAAACTCTAGAGTCAAGACTCCCCTTGAAAGAAGATCATGCACATATTGGTCTTAACCATAAAGACTAGGTTAGCTAATGAATAAAAACTTCTCAATAAAATCTCCTCTGCTGACCTCATTTTCAGTATCTCCTTTTCTAGAGCAGGCAATAGCTTCTGGCAGGGCCACTGTTTTTATTCTACTCTCTTCTAGAGAGCAGTTGTTTTTTTTTTTGTTTTTTTTTTTTAATCTACCAGTGAGATTACTTGTGTCCTCCCTGTTTATAAACTGATCTAACAATTCTTTTTCAGTTTAAGATGATTCAATGACACACTGTAAACAGTATATATATTGACCATTCTAACAGAGAGGGCTTGTGATGGGTCACAGCCATCAATGTTCTGCATTTCTCAGGACGTTTCTGAACAGTATACCCACTACTGTACAAGGAGAATCAGCTCTGCGGAGGTACCATTTTGTTGGGCTCAATTTTTGCCTACTGAGCTCTTTGACTGGAGTCAGCTGGGAGAGGGAAGAAAGCCTCCGCAGGGGCCGGACCATGGTATGCTTCTAGAGGAGGTAGTGAGGCTGGAACTGCAGGAATGGGACAAGTTTCTAGGCAGGGATTCCAAAATAATAATACACAAGAGGCCAGGCTTTGTGACCACAGTTGGACCTCATGACACAAAACAGTGCCATGAAAGATGGTGGCCTACTGATGGACCTCATCTTACACAATACATTCGGAGAAAGGAGATGGGGGAAGAGCAAAGTGAGATAGGAAAAATCACACATTCATCTCAAGCATGAATCTACCTTGTGCCTGTTTCTGTATTCTTTTACTTTGTTGATATTTTTTTCTGTTAATGTAAAGATTTTGGGGACTACATATGATTTTCTTTTGCTTAGGGGGAGATGCTAAAGAGTCACCTGATGGTAAGCAGAAAAACAAATATATTGGATGGATAGCCTTTGAATATGGTTATTTCTTTAGAATGAAACTGAGTGAATGCTTCGTTTTCTAAGAATTAGCAACCAAAGCCCCATAAGGAGTGGCTTTCCCTATAGTCCTTGGATTCTGCTCATCTCCAGGGTGACTGAAAGTAATAAAGTTCATACATATGGCTGTCAGATGCAGCCTTAAGAAGCCAATCATTAAGATTTGTCGTAAGGTACTTCCTAGTAATGCATTTTCAAATACCTTTCAGAGAATTATATCTCAGAAACTGTGATTTTATTTTTGAAATGTCCAAAGTGAACAACACTGCTGAATTTCTGTTTTTCACTGACTTTAATCTTCAGAAAAAACTTCAAAATTCCCACAATCAAAACAGACCCTGAATGAACCTTCCTGGTTGCCTTCTTGGGCTACTTGTGGCACTTGCGGTACCTGTAATACCACGAGGATGGGCTGTGCAAGCACAGGGAATTCAAACCACCTGTGAAGCCTTCTAAACAAAAAAAAAAAAAAAAAAAAAAAAAAAAAAAAATGGAAATTCTGGCTCCTAAGTTCCACTGGGTTCTGGTCTGTCCTGAATCTCCCCAAAATGCTGGAGGTGCAAGGGCATGGACAGAGGCATGCCTGAGCTGCAAGCAAGAGCAAGCCTCTCCCATGTCTTCCCATAATGCAAGGATGAGTTACCCACAAACTTCCAGCAATTATGAGTGTATCAGCTCCCCAGGGCTCCCAAGGTGCTTTGGCTGTCCTACTATAGAACCTGGGAACAGACTGACTCATTCATTGAGCCCTGGTATTTTATGAGTTTGAAGGAATCGGAGGGTATACATGTCCACACGTGGTCCCAGCTGATGAGCTGGAGGCCATGGTAGCCAGGCTGGGCGAATTCATACTAGGGAGCCTCCTATCAGTCCAGTGTTTCTTGGACTTGAGCACATTTCAGAAATACCCCGTTTCTCATTCAGCAGGTCTTGGTGGAACCTAATACCCACACTTTTAATTTGTTACCATGACGCTGGTGCTGGAACCACAGGCTGAGAACTGTTTATTCTTTCACTGGGCAGAAGATGATCAACTGTGCCCCCACCACAGAACTGCAGCATTATGGCACTGTCCGTATGTGCCCCAACACAAGGTCTGCACAGTAATGTGTCAAGAAAGGACATATGATTTGTTCTCTATGCAGTCTTTGCACAAATGGTATCCTCTTTGGCAAGGTGGATGCCTCTTTGTCATTATTATTATTATTTTTTTTTCTTTTACTGGTAACAGGGATCAAACTCATTACCACGCGCTTGCAAGGTAGGTGCTTATGCCACTGAGCTAAGCCCCCAAACCCGTCATTAATTTTTGAAGACAGTTACTAAATATGACAAGAAAGCAGCAACATTATTATAATAACCATAGTCTCCTGGAGGCAACTGCTTGGAAGTGGACCCTAACATGATGCATACTTTTTATTTATGATAATCATTCTTATTTATTCCTTTTATAGTTCAGCATCTAAACATGTGGCTCTCTTTTCACAGATTTGGTCACTATATCCTCAACTATGACTTTGCAATTCTTTGTGATTTCTGTCTTCTTTTGGTCAGGTTGCCCTGAGTTATGGATAATCTCACTGTGTTTGTGGCTGAGCTGATGTGCTGTGCCTGTACTAGGTTATTTTTTGCAAGTTATTTGGAGGAGAGATTTTCCAAAACATGCAACTCTTCCTTAGATATGGTTTTTGCCAAATCTTGTTTCAAAGGTAATCCCAGATCTGACAGCTCCACAGTTGGCAAAACACTGACAGCTGCACTTTTTTCCACTATTATTTCTCCCGAGACTAATTGATCACTTCCAAGAGAAACTCTCTTGTGGTGGTCGAAGTCTTCTGCAGAGCCACAGTTCCTGCGTTTCTGTTGTGTTTTGGCTGCCTGTGGACTTTGCTTTGGACCTGGTGATGCTGACTCACAGCTATAGACAGCACTCCTGCTCAGGATCCTTGCCTTTAACCGCTCCCCAGGATGAGGTTTTTGCTGGCTGCTAGAGTCTTCTGGTGGAGTCTGATTAACATTTTCCAGTTTTTGAACAGGAAGCCTCTGGTGGCTCTCCACTGCCTTTATGTAATCCTTGACTTGTCCCACGGCTTTTGATGGGGGTGCTGGATGAGGTCTGACAATCACTGCTCCTCCTAGCCACCACTGCAATCTCTGAGTCACTAGATGTTCCCACAGTGGCCCTGGGGATCTGTGATTTGCTTGAGACACTTTTTGTTTCAGTTCTTTTCACACTAAGAAGAATAAGTAAAGATTTTATGTTGCATAAAAATGACATGGCTGCCTTCAGCCCCCACTACCACATTTCCTATGGCTGAGCAGGAAGCATGGGCTAGCTGCCTTCTCTTTGCCTTCCCAGCATAGCTAGAAAAATCCCATATGCAGTTTACACACAGACAGAGTTAAAGAATAACTTGTACATAATTCCCTTTTACTAGGACATATTCTGCTTTTTGGTCACTAGGATCATCAACAGAGTTGTAATGGGGTTCACTCTTTAGGACAAATAGGCACTTGTTTCAGCTATTAGGGCCAAAACTGCCAGAGCTTGCACATGGTTTTTCCCTATGTGTACATACTTATATCCAAAGCTCAGTCATATATATGTGAGAGTGTGTCTGTTTACAATTGCTATTTGTGAGCAGAGAATAATCCTCTGGAGTTCCTCTCAGCCTATTTCAGGATATTTTTCAAATATAACCACACTTTACCTGGTGTTATAACTGGAGGAGTTGGACTCAAGTTAACAAAGTTTGAAGTGCTCTTCTGAAAATTTCAGACAGCATGGAAGAAAGCACAATTATGGCAAACAACACAGTGCCAATATGTCTGTGTGTCTGTCTATCTATCCATCCATCCATGCATGTATCTATCTCAACCCCTTTTCTACAAGCATACAACAGTCAGGGAAATTTTTTCTCTGATTGTAAAATAACTGCACAAGGAAAATCATCTTACCTTCAGAAAGAAGTTAATGGCCAGAAATTTGTGAAAAGCAACAAAATCCTTTAACCACCAAACTCAGAACATTGAAACTGCAATATGCATTTAGTATAAAAACTGTTACTACCAGTAGCACAAGAGTTATCATAATTACATTAAAGTAGGAATGAGTATTTTAGAAATGTGCTTCTCTAGATCTGTTTGGAGTCTCCCTGAAAATTGTATGAAAGACATTAGCAGTAGGGCTTTTTATCTTCAAAGAGCTTCTAATTAATTACACCTTGCAACATACCTATGAAGCAAGGACTCCATACCCACTACCTAGAGAGTACGAGAAATAGTCAGAGGGTGGGAAGGGCAAGCATGTAACCGAGGGCAGGATCAGTACCAACGGGGCTTTTGTGATTAGGTTCTATGCACTTCCATTCAGTTCTAGACTCCATTTACCCATACAAGCAGTCAAAAATCAAAAAAGTAAACATGCAGGACCTACATTTCTTTCAAAGCATTTTTCTTGAGCTTTGCACTGGGAGGAAGTGGACTCTCCGCACACTCAGCAAAATAATCAGACACTCCATGGAGAGCTCTTTCTGTCTATTCCAAAAGATAACAAAGGTTCAACCAGAAATCTATTAGCTGAACGTGAGAGAAAACAGTTACACTTTGAATGCTCACAGATTTATTTTTATAAAAACTAAATGAAATTGCTTAGGGTTACAGGCTATTTTAACTTTATTATCTAGGATTTTTAGGTAAGTTACAACTTCTTTCTGACTGCCAGTCTACACATTTCGTACATTACTGTGCACCATGACTATACAAGACTTGTAATGTAAGTGATCCCTCCAGCCAGTATCTGGTATCTCTGTGGCCTAAAAAGTCCAGTCACTGAGCCAGCTCACAGCGTGCGTGCAAGAAGACTTGGGAGCACAGTGGGCAGCACATCTTGGTTATCCTAAGCATTTCCCATATTCTCCCTACTTATAAAAACAGAAATATGACCATTTGTACCTCTCAAGACAATATCAAGAGTTAAACTTTTTAATACTGCTATCTTCAAAATAGGTATTTGTCATTCTTGCTACTGAAAAACTGTTTTCTTCTTACATTAACACTATCATGGTAATTCATAAATTATCTGTTTATCTACATTTTTACATGCCAATGAAAGTGTCAAAAGGATGTAATTATAACGTATAAGTCTCAATTTTTGCCAACATTGGCACATGGATGCTTTTAGAATCTTTTACTTGTGTTCAGCAGGTAGACAATGATTTATCTTCTCTTATTTTCCAAGACACTAAGTATTTTTCTCCATCAAATTACAGTAAGTCTTTGACTTAAGAATATTCGAGTTGTAAACTTTCACAGATGTACTGTATAAGACTCACTTTGGTGGCTTATGAACAAATCTGAACAATTCTCTTGCAATAGAACTCCTTTATCAGCTGGGGCCTTACTCCATAATAAAATGTTTTTGCACAAAGAACAGCATTGGGATGTTGTCAGCAGATCCCTGGGAATTAACAGTAGCAGCTCTGGTGACCCTGCAAAGAAGTAGCCATCGACATCATGTCTGGCTCTCCCTCACGCGGACGGGATGTGCTTCACCCATCACGGTCCATGCCACTGAGACGTGAGGAGCCTTCAGCATTAACAGTGCCCCTGGCTTTGGGCCCAGTGGGTATCACTCAATATCCAGTTATAACCCAAGTTAGTCTTAATGGTTAGTGAGCACATTATTACAGGCTTTATTGGATTACACTGCATTCTGATGCATCTCTCTTTTTGGCTTTCTGTTTCCTACAAATTTACATGCTGATCAAAACAGAGTGATGATTTAAAAGTTCAGAGAGAGATAGACAGAGAGAAGGAGAGAGGAGAGAGAGAGAAAGAGAAAGACAGACAGACAGACAGAGACAAAGAGAGACAGAGAGAGGAAAGACAGAGAGAGCAATGGAGATTTATGTGTGAAACACTTCTAAACATGCCCTGTAAGTACAGTAGATTTTCCCCTTTCAGCCACACCCTGTAAGTGCTGCATTTTCAGAGCTGAACAATTAACATAAGAAGCATGAGTCAGGCTTTGAACAACTCTGTGGGAACCAGAAAGCCTTTTGCTATTAGGAATGATGTAAATTCCCCAAGGCTGGAAGAAGTCTACAATGGAAGGCAGACAGGGTCATAAATAACAACAATGGATTCGGCCTACACCACGTGAAGTATGATGCTGCAACAGCGACACTCTCTTCAAATCTCAGATTGGATTTAATCACTGCCTTTACTTATTTTTAAAATCCGGTTTGAAGAGCATTGTGCATTTCCTCTGGGAACTTCAAAAAGTTCTTTACGAAATAGCTCTCATCCTAAATTCTTCTGACTATAGTGGGGGAAAGGATCTAAAGAAAAGGGACAACAGAGAAGTGACACAGTGACAGGAGGAAATGTCCAGCTCAAAAAGTACAAAACTTTTGACTTCGTTTTCAAGAAAAAAAAAAAAAAAAAAAAGGAAGGGTGGAGAAAGAAAGGACACGGCGGGGTTTCTTGCTTACAAATTAAAACCACATTTGGCAATTTGTTGAGGGAGGGAGGCATATTTACATTTGTATGAAAACTGGGTGGGCAGGAAAAAAAAAAAAAAAAGATTAGGCTTCTTCAGGCCCTAAACTGTCAGGTCTCATTAGAAATCTTTTCTTACATTTCTAGGGTTTCCCCTGCCCCAATCACAGGCCGTGGGCCCACTTCCTCAAGTATTCCTAGGGAAGCAGCTATCATCCAGGAAAGGATTTCTCAAAAGACTTTGTCCTGATCACTAGTGAGCCTCACATTTGACATCAAGATGAAACCTGTGGCTTATCCTGAGGCAAAACTTCAAGGTGCAAACGTACAGTGAATGGTCAGAAGGTTGGACACACATTCAGGGCTTCCAAGGAGGATAAGAATGATCCTATGATCTTCTGCAAGAAATACAGACAAACCCAACACAAAGATGCTGCCAGCCTGCCATGCAAAGTCCACAGTGGATAGCCCATGGGAGGCTCAAGTATTTAATCAGAGGATCTATTTGGGGCCTTCATAAATGATTGACAGCTAGCTCTTAGCCTAGGCAAAGGAATAAAATCTGTAAATATAATTTCCTGCCATACTGTACTCTTGGCTACTTGTTAGTCCTCACTGTACCCCTTATTTAAATTATTGAGAATAACTGAGGATTTATATTTAAAACTTTTTTATTTACAAAGAATTCCCAAACCAATTTAGGTCAAGACCTTTCATCTAAGAACTCTGATCTAGGGAGCCAGCTTCCCTATCACTCAGGCAAACTCCACAACAGGACATCAGCCTTTCTCTATCTCTGGGCATGCTGCTGAGACCAGTTGAACATACTAAAGTTGGAACTATCAAAGCATGTTATGGTTTAGAACTGAAAGGCTTGGTTTGCCATCATGCAGCTGTGATCAGAGGTGGGGCTCTTTTCCTGAGAGCTCTTACTCAATGGATTACTCTATTGATCCATTCATGGCTTAAGGGGAGGCAGGGACTAGTGGAAATCACCGAGGGCATGTTCTTGAAGAACCTTCTCTAATTAGTGAAAGAGTAGGTAAAAGATCACTGTATACTGTCAGTAAGGGAGGTTAACCTTTTATGCCTTCGTAAGTGTGGTACATTAAGCAGGCCTAGGGCAGGATACTGTTGGCTAGGACTTGACTCAGCATGGACAAACAGCATGCTGTGGCATGAACCCTACCAGGCGGTAAGTCTGGATGAGAAAAGAAGTTGAGAAGGTGAGGCAGATTCCAGAAGACTTCAGGGAACAACAGGAGAGGAAAAGGAAAACAGAAAAACTCACTCTTACAGGCAAGAGAAGAATAAAAGTGAAAAATGAAATGACAGTTAAAAAGTGCTAATGGTTGGGGCTGGAGGTTTAGCTCAGCGGCGGCCTGCCTGGCAAGCACAAGGTTATGAGTTTGTCCCCAGTATTAAAAAAAAAAAAAAAAAAAAAAAAGTGCTAATGATGTGGAATGCTGTTGGCCAGTTATTAGTGAAAACTGACCACTGGAAGGTAAATGAGCTTGACATGAGCTGATTTTGAAGTGCTGGGACCCAAGCCGCCTGAGACAAGGTCAACAGGAAAGTGGAGACATAATGGAGAGCAGAAGTCTCCAGTAGAAATATAATGTGAGATGTGCAAGTAACCTGAATTTTTATAGCTCCATTAAAAAGGTAAAACTGGTAAAATTAAATTTCAATAATACGCATTATTTAACACTATATAAAAATCTTGCTGTACATGTAATCAATATAAAAGTATTGAGATATTTCATGTACTCCCAGTATATTTCATACTGATACTACATCCTTTCTGACTCACCACATTTTCAGTTCTCATTAGCTAAATGTGGTCAGTGGCTATAGCTTTTGCTAGTGGAAGTCTACATTACACACTGGAAGAAATTTACAGAGAACTGTGAGTATTCACCAGTGCCACTCTCAATACAGCTTGGCGAGGCAGCTATCGTTACTGTTACCACAGCCCAGGGCCGGATACTGTTGGGGAGGACTTGACTCAGCATGGACAAACAGCATGCCGCAGCCTATCTGACACAATGTGCCCTTCACTGGGAAAATCACGTAGCTGGCTCTCCAGCACCTTTCTAGAGGCCCTGGGACATCAATATTTGTTGAGGCTGGAATTGGGGATGGGAGACTCCTTGGGGCCATGATATCAGGCCATTGATCCCTCCAACAGTCCTGTGGGTGTACTAGGTAATCTCAGCTGTGACTACACTGCTTACTCTTGCTTATAGTCCTTCTAGTACTCCTGACCATGAGTGAAAATCTATGACAGGAACTACAGTAGCAAACTGTTGTTTCAGAATTGTAAAATATCATATAAAGGCAGTAAGGGAGGGCAAGAAGCTCTTTGGTGCTAACAGTTCTTTTTTACGTAGCGTTTAATACAGTATCACGGTGCTCTCAGTCTTTATTTTTTGAGAGTCGACTCTGTTCTCTCCTGGCTATATACATGTGTTTCTTCTGATTCTGTTTTATATATCCCCAAATGAAAATAACCCAACCACAAGACTTTAAAAGTAGGCAATTCAGAGCATTCACACCTTCATTTGTTCTTAGAACACACTCAAAATTTTGTTGCTTCTCAATTCCTCAGGATCACATCTGACGGGAATGACATACGCAGAGCCGATGGCATCAGGGTGATGCAGAGCACGTGTTGCAGGGAGTAAAATCTAAGGTCTCCCACTCACTCCTGGCTTGTGCTGGGGTAGTTTCTTAACTCCCTGAGTCTTGGTTTCTCATTATATTTCACTAGTGTTTGGGAAACTGAAATGCAATAAGGTACAGAAAGTGCATTTTGGAAACTGGAAAGTGTTGAACAAATTTTTTTTTTTTTTTTGTCTTTCTCATTTTTATCGGTACCAGGGATCGAACTCACGACTGCCTGCTTTCAAGGCAGGCGCTTATGCTGCTGAGCTAAATCCCCAGCCCCGTGTTGAACAAATTTTTTGACTCAAAAAGAAAATCTGATGCCTTTATAAACCATGTGGAGTTGGTAAAGAGAAAAAGATGCCTTG